GGTCGTACATGGGCAAACCCGGAGGGCAATGGTCGGGCTAAAGTGCTGTTGCAAAACATCCTGGTCATCCGCCTTCTCTACATCATCATCTATGCCACGAAGAGGGGTATTTACTGGGTAATGGAGCAGCCCGCTTCAAGTGTCCCTTGTCTAATTTTGGCATTTAGATGGCAAAACCAAATGGCAGTGCAGATGTTTCAATTGAGGTTCTTTATTGTTGGCCTCCAGTGCGAAGGGTTTTTCAATGGTGTAAAGCCAGGCATGGCTGGGTACTTCCTGTTGCCTTTGGGGGGACCTCCCATAGGCCATAGACCTTCACGCTTGCGGGCAGGCGGATCTCATTTCCAATGGCGGCCTATGGATCTGACACACTCAAGATGACTGTGTACCTTTGGCTATTTAGTTGCACGCCTTATTGTAACCGCGTCTTCCTTAAAGAAGGCTCTTCGTGTGGAGGAGGGTGTATAAAAAATATATTAATTCGATTCAAGATTTTCCACTGTGAAAACCAAAGTTGGACTCAAGATCCAAACATGGCAAAGCTATTGTGAGTGAGGCTGTGGGGCACACTTCCAAATTTGCAGACTCTCTACCGACCATTATCACTCAAGATCCTGAAAGCAGCATTGGTGAGGACTGGCACTCCGAAGGGCTTCACATTGATCGTGTTTTCTCGCAAGGTTGCCTCCAAATTGTCACCTTGAGCTCGAGTTTTTTTCTGCACGATGCCCCTCTGTAGAAGACCGCAGTCTGGCGACACTGCATATCGACATGCAGTTGTTTCCTGAGAATAGCTCACCACCTGGAAGCTATAGAAGGTTGGCTCAGCTTCTGGAAGTGGGCGGAGTGCGTATGTTCAACACACTGGCATCTGCCTTTGCCAGGACTGGCGTCACTCTCGTGAACAAAACAGTCTCCAAGAGCGGCAAGATTCAGGTGGTGTCTTGGACCCATTTTTTGAATTTGGGACCAGGGCCATGCGTGTTCCAGAGTCGATGAGTTCTCCTGGTGAGTTGGACCACCTTTCATTCGCTTCGACTTGTGTGCGAAACAGTTATGCGCAAGTAAGCTGCCAGCGGATGCATGCCACATCGATTGGAGATCCAAAGAGTGTCCCACAAGAGTGTCCTACAAGAGTATCCCACAAGAGTGTCCCACAAGAGTGTCCTATAAGAGTGTCCCACATGCAAGAGTGTCCTACGAGAGTGTCCCACAAGTTTGCTACAAGAGTGTCACACTGCTTGCCCGCCTGCCTTCCTTCCCTTCCCTTCCTTCCCTTCATTCCTTCCCTTCATTCCTTCCCTTCCTTAATTCCCTCCTTCCTTCCTGCCTGCCTTCCTGCCTCCCTCCCTTTCCTTACTTCCTTCCTCCTTCCTCGTGTTCCTTCCCCC